GATGTAACAGGGACATGTTTGAGTTGAGTTTAAAGAAACATATTTAACACTGTTTGCAAATTATTCATGCTTATTTTTTTTATGAAAACGTCATTGCATATACACATGGTTCCAACGTCAGTGAGATCTATAGTGTTATAATATACGGAGTTGCGTCCCTTAGTCGTGCAAGGATCCGCTGGTATTGGGTTCGAATCCCCGCATTTTCCTCTTGTATCTCAGCACTCTGTTCTTCATCGTGGGGCCGCCTCCGTGGTCTAGTGGTAAAGCTTCTGCCCGGAGAGCGGAAGGTCCGGGGTTCGATCCCCAGCAGCGTCATACCAAAAGACGTTAAAAGATGGTACTTGTTGTTACCCTGTATGTCGCGGACTGGTCGGCTCGGAGTCAGTATACTGTATCTGAGTGGGGTATTCATGTTAAACTGCGGTATGGTATCTCAGTGATCTAGCACTATAAATCGACATCAGTCCGGACTAGTACCAGCGGCCACTAAAGTGGTAAACGTGTGCCCTCAGTGTCCCGTAAGGCATTCATGGTATGCGAATGGCAAAAGTTCATTTAAGGTTTAAATGAGTGATTGAGTATGGTTTTACGCCGCTTTTAGCAATATTCCAGCAATATCGCGGCGGGGGACACCATTAAGGTTTAAACATAAACAAAGAAAGCATATGTTCCATACCAATATCTGTATATATGTACATGTATATGGTATGCATGGGTATGTCAAGTGAATATATAAAAAATGTGAATCCTGTATCGTGCCACTGTCATGAAGCAATTTCGGTTTGTAAGCTGTCGGGAAATTATTTAACAAACCGATGGTTGATAGCATGAACAACGATCCACCATGTCGAGATACGATGACACTAAATCATCAGTGTCAACCCGATCCTCGCTTTTTCAACTTTCAATAATATCAGAGTTTGTTTCCGCATTCTTTAAGAATTTAGGCCAGCTGTTCTGCATCTTAGTTTGTGCTTGAAATTTCACAGTCGCTTTTGAGTCGGCACGTGGACTGTGAAACAAAAAGAAAGGAAAATAGTGCGTGTTTTCAAAATCTTTTCAAACGAAAGAAGACACATCAGTAATTATTTTCTAAACATGTGGATAATATCGGGCGTCGTTTGGTGTAGTTGAGCTTCGGCTGTCCATCAATCGAACCTGATTTTGTATAACACCAGCTTAATACTGACTCTTAGTACTCAGTACAAAAACTGATAGGATGGAAAGGTTGTATAGTATACAGCCAAGGTGCGTATGGTGAAAGGGTGCTACTTGCAATTTAGGTATTTTCAGAAGAAAAAATAATTTGTGTTTTGTTCTTGGACACAGATGGAACTTTGATTCCAATGCCGGGACACGCACTCGTCATAACGGTACCAATACCGATAACCAACGGTTCTGGGGCCCGTTCCACAAAGCCATCTTAGCGCTACGACTGACGTAAGTCTATGTTAAAGTACTGGAGTTACGATCGTCTTAGCGCTACAATCGCTTTGTGGAACGGGGCCCTGATCAGCAGTTACATGCCACCCATAATTTTTATTGTTGGTGCAAACCCTCATGTAGAATTTGGTGGCTACACAGGCTGCCACTCTGAACAAGATGCCCGAGACCGGTGAACATGGTACTGATGCTTCTTGTGACATGGTGATTATGACAAGAAGAAGAAGCTCGGAGGGAAACCATCTTCAATACTGTGTTAGGTAACGTCAGAATACACGTTTTTGTTTGTTTGTTATTTAACGCCGCACTCAGCAATATTCCAGCGGTCTGCAAATAATCGAGCATGGACCAGACAATCCGGTGATTGATAGATATCATGAGCCTTTTACGGCAAGCATGGGTTGCTGAAGACCTATTCTACCCCGGAATCTTCACGGGTCTTGATGGATTGGTCTAGTCACGTCTAATTGGGTTTTCATTAAGTATCTTTAATAAACGTATCCAATATGTTTTTTTAAGTTCAGATCGTCATCCAACCACCCTACATCTTTTTTACTGTCGAACCACAAACATAAAGCGAATCTTAACGGCTAGAACCACACGGTGTTCTTCTTAGACCTTTCAGGAGGCAGCAGCCCCTAGACGTTGAGTAATCGATACTGACACATAACAATGACACGTGTATTATGAAGAGGTCTTCAGCAACCCATGCTTGCCGTAAAGGCGTCTATGCTTGTGGTAAGAGGCGACTTACGGGATCGGGTGGTCCGGCTCGCTGACTTGGTTGATGCATGTTATCGTATCCCAATTGCGTGAATCGATGCTCATGATATCTATCAATCAACGGATTGTCTGGTCCATGCTCGATTATTTGCAGACCGCCGTCATATAGCTGGAATATTGCTGAGTGCGGCGTTAAATAACAAACAAACAAAAACGTGTATTCAGACGTTACCTAACACAGTATTGAAGATGGTTTCCCTCCGAGCTTCTTCTTCTTGTCATAATCACCATGTCACAAGTAGCATCAGTACCATGTTCACCGGTCTCGGGCATCTTGTTCAGAGTGGCAGCCTGTGTAGCCACCAAATTCTACATGAGGGTTTGCACCAACAATAAAAATTATGGGTGACATGTAACTGCTGATCAGGGCCCCGTTCCACAAAGCGATTGTAGCGCTAAGACGATCGTAACTCCAATACTTTAACATAGACTTACGTCAGTCGTAGCGCTAAGATGGCTTTGTGGAACGGGCCCCAGAACCGTTGGTTATCGGTATTGGTACCGTTTTGACGAGTGCGTGTCCCGGCATTGGAATCAAAGTTCCATCTGTGTCCAAGAACAAAACAAAAATCATTTTTTCTTCTGAAAATACCTAAATTGCAAGTAGCACCCTTTCACCATACGCACTTTGGCTGTATACTATGCAACCTCGACATCCGTTCTGTATCAGTTTTTGTACTGAGTACTAAGAGTCAGTATTAAGCTGGTGTTATTCAAAATCAGGTTCGATTGATGGGCAGCCGAAGCTCAACTACACCAAACGACGAAAATGTTTAGAAAATAATTACTAATGGTATCAAACGCTGCGGACAGGTCAAGTAGGACCAATATGGCGGCACCCTGAGAATCCGAAGCATTAAGATCATTCTGCACCGTGAGAAGTGCTATGTACGCATGTACGCAGCTCTTTCATTTACTTTTGACATGAACAGCAGATGCCACTCGGCGATAGTTCTTGAGATTATCTGGGTCATGTGAGCGCTTGTTTTAGATCAGATGGGAATACACAACTTGACAGTGACTGGTTGTCCACTTTAAGGGTTGCAGGCATAACTTGATCGAGGTATAGTGGGCATGGCATTAGCAGGCATGTGGGAATAGGATCCAAGGAACATGGTGTTATTAGAGATTTCAACAGACGTTTACATATTTCATCGACACTAGCCGGATGAAATGCTGTCAGAGCATTTAGTCTTCCTAAAACCAAACTTGCCCGATTCAGCTGCTGATGTAACACCCCATTGATGTGAGGACTCTCTGAATTTGAAGAGTCTCATTTGTAGGGACTTCAGTATCCACGTTGATAACAAGTGACAACCATGCCAAGAGGTTGGTATCAAAGAATCTTTTGCAGCTCATTGTTTCAAACCTACAGTAAAGGACAAATTCTGGATTTACTTATCACAAGATCTGATGGGTTACACTTCTGGAACTTGATACATGATCACTTGAAACAGTCTGATTATTTTTGTGTAATGGTTATGGTAAATATACCCAAACCACCTAAACATAAGACAGATGTCGCATGTAAGAAGTGGAAGTACATTCATGTCTTGTTCCAGCAAGATGTGAACTCTGTCCCACTATTTAGGCTGCTTTGGATGATGTTCTAGAATCTGTCAGCCTTTACAATAATTTGGTTAGATTCTAGACAAACTTGCTCCACCAAAGAGAATAGCTGTCACAGTGATGCTCGGACAGCCTGGTTGTCTGATGAGATAAGAAGAGAAAAAGAGCAGCGATGTAAGCTGGAAAGTGAGTGAGTAAGCAAGTTGGATTTAACACCGCTTTTAACATTATTCCAGTTATATGACAGGGCGTCAGCTTAATGTGGGAGGAAACCCCGAAGTGATGCAGGTCTCGGACGTTTACCACTTCGATGAAACCCAGGAGCGCGGGTATGGTGCTGAAAAAAACTAAAAACATAATCGGGGCGATCCGGGATTCGAACCCACGAACATAGGTTTCTGGGGTGCCCAAGGGACGCAACTCTGCACAGCTAATCGTCGCACCTTAGACGACTTGGCCACCCATTACCCCTTAAGCTGGAAAGAAACTTATCAATGAAGCCAAAGCATCACATTCAGAACAGCTTTAAGTGGGGCTACAACATAGAAAGAGATTTTCAATTTCAGAAACAATTTGCTCTTCAGGAAGAAACAAGGCCATCTCCCCTGACACTCAGCACTAGCTAAGTTGCAGAAAGATTCAATACATTCTTCAGTGCAAAGATCCTCACAATAGGTTCTTCACTGGACACATTAAAGGGAGCCACTTGCCAGACGTTGTCTGAGTAAGTTTCGAGCCATCTTTAACAGTCAGATTGATCCACATCATAACCTTTGAGTTATTGAAGGACTTGGGATCAAACTTGCAATGACTTGATATTTTTCCGGCCCTTGGCTTGTCAACAAACTGGACATCCTCACACAATGAAGTGAATCAGTTAAGCCATTTTATAGAAAAAACACACATACGTGGATTCATTAACTTCATCATGGATATATTTAATACTGACCAATAAGGTTGGTTAATATCAACCTGTCCTGTTATGATTAACAATGTATGTATAAATTCAATATATAATTTCAAACAATCATCGGAGGTGAGTTGTTTCCTTTCAAATCTATTATGAGACTGATTTCAATAGTTACCTGATTCAGAGGCAAACAGGACAACCGTTGAAGTACCATATATCGTTCTGTTTGTTCCGATCGATATCCTTATGTTAATCTATATCTCTGCTGTAACAGCAATTAACAACAAATGACTTTGATATAAATGATAATTTATTCATGTCTATCATTGTGTACAATATTTTACACATATCTGACATAAACACTTTCTGAGGTAAATTCAATAGAACAAGAATGTATCGAATAAAAGCCATTGGCTGGTCTTTATCATAAGTATATTTCTGCTAGCTGGTTACGCTGTGTCTTCTTGTCTAGTAACACCATCTGAGTAAAATATAAGGGTCACTTGGTGGAAGTGATTCCCCAAATAGACAAATACAAATTTTGCTACAGGGCAACTGCACAATTCGGTCAACACAGACACATATCTTTATAAAGAAAGGGCTTTTTTCAAACAAACTAACCAAACAGAGATATTTTAAAATAACAATCTTGCAAATTGTGTAAGAATCAACAACACTGCATATATGTCTTGCAAGTTTTAGCAGGCAGAAACATTCCATACCTCCATGATAACTGTGATGTTCTGATATGTCAAGCAACACCGCAGCTTTGATGATCCGAATGTTTTCTTCACATCAATTGCATATTATCTCCAATATTTATATTTCATGTATGTGTTGGAGCACACACATATTGATAGGTGATAAACATCTATGTTGCTCATAACAAGAACTTAATGTGAAGGACAATGCAATAATGATTTCACACACTCTACAATATTGCTGACCTAATGCAGATACTTTGTTGACATAAAATAGAGATCATTGTTGACATCATGAGGCAGATGATAACATCACAACCTATCATTGTTGACATCATGAAGACACGATGAAGCAACTCCATGGTTTCGGAATAGAAGACTATACTATACTTCTTGAACAATCCATTGCTGACCAAAGTATGGATAATAATCTCTTTAAATAATCTGTTGGTTGGATAACATTATCAATATTAATGCGACGTGAACTGAACCCAGTCAATGTGACCTCTAAGTGGACACGGACCACAGAGCTACCCCAGGGCAGTGCTCGTATTTCATAGGACATGGACACACGATTCAACTCAACTGGCTTACCCAAGGAAACTCAACAAGGAACAAATTATTTCAACTAGCTGCAAAACTTGAATGTGCACACTCAAATTTATTTCCTTCTACAACAAATCTACTGCTATTCATACAAGTCTTTCAGCAAAGCCTGCCAATTTACATCTATCATGTCTTTTTGGCAAAATTGCAATGTACGACTAGAATACGTATACAGCATGGCCTGCGAAACAAACCGTATTCCAGTTTAGTCTCAACTATCAATTAACTGCTGCTGCACTGCAATCAATGCCATTCACCCTCAAATGGAGGAATGCAACCCACTATCATACCATAGACACAGCACCATTGAAGTAATACTAGAAACTACACCCTTCCTTTGACAGTGGTACACAGAATCAGACTGAAATAAAATTATTATGCAATTTCAGACCTAAAACAGTGACCTGAAAGAAATACGACAAGTAAAAAGTACCCCAACAATCTAGAGACTGAAAAAGCCATGACCACTTGCTTCTTTCAAGACAATACCTCTTTCAGCCGAAGAAGTAAATTTCTGATGCACTGTACCACCTTCCTTCGTATCTGGCAAGTAAACACCAAGTGTTCCATAAATGACTTTATCACACCAAACCTTCAACTTCTACTCAGTGAACACATTAATGTACAGATCAACATATAAAATGCAGTTGACAAATGTTAATGAAACAATTCATGAATGTGACAAAACATGACTGACATTTTGGTACATCAACATATGCAAAGATGTATGTATGCAAAGGTGAATATATACAAATGGTATAAACATAACAAATCTATTTATTGCCAGCTTCTTTCTTGACATCCTTCACAATATCTTTGTCAGACTTCTCTGGTTCAGAATTGTGAACAAGGGCAGGCTTGTTTTCCAGAAGTGCTGTCATAGCTGAGAGGGCGCTGGCAATGGTATCCTTGCTTTCTGTGACAACAGTAGTCCACTTCCTGTTACAAGTGTCCGCCTCTTCACGCATAATGTGCTCCTTCTCCAGTTCTGTCTTCACCTGCCGCAACTCGGATATCAGCTTCTGACAATTGTACTCACTTGTATTCAGGGTGCTCTTCATGGAATCTGCCAGAAACAAATCAATACTGAATGGGAGAACAATGTGTATGATGAATAGCCTGGACTAATGCCGGGTTTATAGTGCTATCCTACTGAGATACCATGCCACAGTTTAACATGGATACCCCCCTCCAAGCTGACTTGTTTAATCCCCTTAATGCCAAAGCAGGGTAACAGCAAGGGCCATCTCTGAACATCCAAGGCCAGGGGTTCAACCATTAACCTTTCGCTCTCCGGACAGACTCTCTATCCACTAGATCACACAATGGATATGGAAACACATAGGTTACATGTATGTTTACATGAAGGCTAAAACTTCCGGAAACTTTCCGGAAACTTCCTAAAAAAATCACTTTCCCTAAACAGCTTCCCCTTTGAGGATGCGTGAATGTTGTTTCACATCATGGCAGCCATACAATGTCAGTTATGGGAAGCTTTCAAGCAATACCTACTAGTCCTACCGTCTTTTGCCATTATGAATTTAAAGTCGGACAATAGGAGTAACTGCAGCTTTTGAATAATCAAGTTTTGTCTGACAAGATTAGCAGCTTTTCGTGGTCTTAAGTATGACAACATTGTAACCACTCATTTCTTATTAGTAGATTCTTTAAACAAGCAGAGAATACTTGGTACCTATAATGACCTTGAATGCCCACAGTGATAAAAGAGTCTATCAGCCTCTTGTACTTACAATTATCAGTTGTCATCTCCTCCATCTTCTTCTCCAGATCTCCTCGGCACTTATCACTCTTGTCCAGCCTGGCCATGAGACTGTCGATATCCAGCAGGGAGCCCTTGTAGTGGATGATGTGGGACTGGGGAGAATCAGTCTTGCTGGTACTGTTCCGAGTGCTTGGCTTATCTGATGGCTTGGGAGCTACTGTTCCTGCTTTCTTCAAGAAGTCTATGTTACCTAGAAACAACACAGGAGATGTAGTATTGGTATATTTGTATTTACACTGAAATTACAACCAAACGACTAGAAAGAACATTACAGAATACCAAATAACATCCATCAGAAAATGTATTAAACATTAGCCCACCATCTACATCAAGTGTGCATAAGAAAGTCCATAGTTATTGCAAAGGAATATATCTGTTAACACACAGTGTCATTTAGAAAGTGGTCAAATGTAACAAATGTCATATTTTGGATAACACTTTCCAAGTAAACTACGGATTCTACAGAGTCCCATCCGGAAATTCGAACCCACACTGCCAGAGTGCCAGGCACTTAATTGCCAGCAATCTAACCCACTCAGCCACCGAGGTGTCAACAAAAATGGAAGTCCAACAACTTGTCAGAGGGGTACACAAAGTATGTGAACTGGAGTACCAGTTGTTGGAAAGTGTTATCCCAAATATATGCATAACATTTGTTATAACATTTGTTACAACATATGTTACAAGGTAATAACCATAGTGTACAGAGACTGGTTACCACACCTTGGCATATCTCCTCTTCACTGACTGCTACACATGCAGGAGCCTCGTCCACCTTGGTCTCCCCCTCAGACACTACAGGTTTGTCCGTCAGTTTCCGGTAGTTCACGGTGTCCCTGGACACAACTTTCTGTACCAATTTCTTTACCTGTTTTCAGAACGAAACATTAATGGTCTGCAGTCTGTTCAATTACTGGCTATATTCTGGGGACAAGAAATCTGGCCAAAAAATACCTAAATACCCAATTAGGTCTAATAATGATCCACAAATGTAAAATAAGGTGAATCATGAAGAGACTACCAGTGAAGTAGTTACTCATTCTTCTCTCATTCTTAAACAATGAAGACATGACTTTGAAAGGCATTTAGACCACCTGATGAAAGAGTAAGTATATACTCTGAAAAGTCGTGTTCCTCATAATAAAGAAGTTGACATCCATAAATTCTATTCCCTAATGTAGACATGATTTTGATTTAAGTAGAAATATAAATAGTGATATGATGTAGCTTAAGCTCACTTCACATATCTGCCTTCTTCATCAATTACCAAAACAGAGCATAAGGTGACACACAAATACATGTACATGAATCAGTTTCCTCATTAGGTGTATTTAATTCTTGAACTTGATAGAAGCCACACCCAAGAACCGTTGTTGGAACTGGCCTTCAGTAACCCATCCTTGTTGAAAGCGTTCAGGTGGGCTTTGACTTGGTTGATGCATGTCTTTGTATCCCAATTATGCAGATCAATGTTCATCATAATTTACCTCCCACCATCAAATAGTTGGAATATTTGGTGTGAGGCGTTAAGCAACAAACAAACAAGACAACAGAAGCCACTATCACTTTAACGCTAAAATAAATCAGATAAAATCACAATGTACATCAACATCTAGTAAGGAACACTACAATATTGTCATCACCTGAGCACGAGAAAGATGGAGCCCTATAGTATGCAAGATTTCCTCTACATCCTTGTCCAGCAGGTAGCCAGTGTGGTTCTGGTCGAAGTAGACGAAGGCAAGAAGCAGGGCAGGATCCACAGTCAGGTACTTCTTCTTATCTTTCTTCTTATCCTTATCCTTCTTGTCTAGGGAAGTTGAAAAACAAAAAATAAATAAATTTCAGGCCATTTCAGGAATTACATGTTTGAAATGTCAATAGCATGATAAAGACATTTTAGACCAGTATGTTTAGTAAGCCTCACCTTTATCTTTTTTGGAGTCTCCATCAGTTTTATCTTCATTCTGTAATGACAAATTAACATAGAGAACATCTTGAAATCCACAAAAAGTGTCTCGAAATAAAAATAATCTTCATTAATCAAGTAGTCATTCATACCTAAAGTACACTGAGGGCTAGAGTGCAAATGTAACACAAGGGGAACAACTCTGATAATATTTTTTAAGAAGTCAATAATCAATAAATGAAATGCACGTGTACATAACAATCCTCCAGCTTGCTTTGACTACCGAGATGCTACCCAACCCCAAACTGTTTTCATTCAACAATAAAGCTTCCATGGGTTCGCACCTCCTCATCATTGCCCATCTCCTCAGTCTCCATCTCCTCCTCCACTGCCTCCTTGATAGCACCATCAGATAACTTCTCCTCCTAGAAGATAAACAGATTCATCACAAACCTGTTTTCACTAAGTAAGTTTGATGAAATTTTCACCAAATATTGTTAAAACAATTCATGTCTGATGTATTACACTCATAAAAAGGGCAAGTTCTTTATCAAAAATAAAATGACATACATAGTGACATGTACGACTCAAAGGAAGATAAAGAACACTTCTTTTTTTTCATATTACATGGAACCTGTGAAGATACAGGGTAGAATAGGTCTTCAGCAACCCATGCTTGCCGTAAAAGGCGACTATGCTTGTCTTAAGAGGCGACTAACGGGATCGGGTGGTCAAGCTTGCTGACTTGATTGATGCATGTCATCTGCATCCCAATTGTGTGGATCGATGCTCATGAAGTCAATCACTGGATTGTCTTGCCCATACTCAATTATTTACAGACCACCGTCATGTAGCTCGAATATTACTGAGTGCAGTGTTATACAACAAATAAACAAACAAACAAATGACGTTACATGGCATGAGAGAATAACTATAGTAATATGAAAAAACAGGTGTTCTTTAACTTCTATTGAGTAGTATATATATATAAATATATATATGTGTGTGTGTGTGTATGAGATGCTGATATTTCTGAAAACGGTGAAATTTACAAACCTCATTTTCTTCTGTTTTTTTCTTCTTGATGACAGGTTCCTGCAATTTCAGTGAACATATTTCAGTGTTTGTTAGCAAAACATGCAATGTGATACTTGATGGCAACTCATCCAAATAGTCTAAAATCATACCGCTCAACTGACTCAGAAGAGATTTGGAAAATCTAGTGAACTTTTATCTCAATAGGTCCCTTCACATGCAAACCTATAACCTTATATGCACAACCATTGGCATACAAAAGGAAGTTCTATTAAAAAATATATGTTGAGGAGTTAAGCCATTTGAAGTGAAGCTAATCAGATGAAATAAACCTGCCTATCCCCCCTCCTGCAACTGTGTATGCAGATATATCGATACCTCATTCTCTACATTCTCATTCTCTGAAATGACTGAGTAAGGCCCTACAATGATGCCCATTTAACAGTTTGGTTCTTTGTAATTCTTGCTTTGCATTACATACATGACCAATAGAGTTTTTGATCACCACCACTTCTAATGAATCTATTTTGACTGAGACTGAAAGCATATGCTCAGTTAAGTTCATGATACCTATATCAGAGCTTCAAAACTGTACCTTCGAATCTTCATTTTTAATTGAAGAATGCTATATAGTAACTATATTTAGCTTGCAACATTGATACTTTAAAACTTGACTAAAGTCATAATGTACACCTGTTTAACATCAAAGTCAAGCTGCAAACCTTAGAATCTTTCTTATCATCTTTCTTGTCATCCTTCTTTTCTTCCTTTTTTTCATCTTTCTTGTCATCTTTCTTATCGTCCTTCTTGTCTTCCTTCTTGTCTTCCTTTTTGTCATCTTTCTTTTCATCTTTCTTCTCATCTTTTTTGTCATCCTTCTTTTCTTCCTCTTTCTTGGGTGGCGCAAGTACAAGAGATTTGTAGATTTGGAAGCCAAAGTCACGCATCAACATCTCATTAAACAGCTCAGCAAACAGGGACACCTGTAAATAATGATCCATGAGTACATCTCTGGGCAAAAGAAATTCATATAAAACTGAATAAAGGCAAAGCAAGTTATTTAAGAAACAAAATGCTGCCATATTGGGTGTTACTGTCAAAGAAGCAAGAATTCTTATCTGTAGAGTATAATATGAGATGTACATCCTTGGTGAAAACATGATAATGGAAAACCCATCAATGAAAGTCAGTACTCATAGAAATATCCCTCAAGCAAACATGGTTTCCATGTTGATAAAGCCATAATATTTTCAACAATTTTGTAATTCGTCCCAGAGCATTATTTAGTCATATTAGCAATTCCTATTACAAACAGATGATATAATGCTGAGTGAATGATGTAAGGGAAATAACTCTTATGCTTTGCTCTTCAGAAAGTGACTGGGCTGTGTTTGGAATTGTTGGAATGACAGTTGGTGAGTGCTAGAATGTCATGAATGAATTGGATTGTGTGTACAGATCGTCATGGTTAGGACAGTCAGTTGTTAGGATGTTTGACTATGCAAGCGACATGTTTGAGTTCAAGTGATAAGCAAAGTTTAATTACAGCTGGCACTAATCCGTCAACGGCGCACTCAGCATACCAGTTATATGATGGCGGCCTGTAGATAATTGCCTCTAGGCCAGACAATCAAGTGAATACTATTGTAAGCAATGAGCCGCACCACCTTGGCACGATCACATGCCTCTTATGACCGGCATGGGTTTGCTAGGGACCAGTTCCAACTCACGCTCAAGCTTGATAACATTAAGTTTTATCTGATAATACCTGGTCAACCTCAGATACAGAGCAAAGTACAAGATGAGGAAGAAAAGTCAATGCTGAAGTACAGATCTCACCTCAAACGAGTGTTCCTTATTATCCTCTGGTCGGTAGTCTAGCAGGACACTGAGTGACATGAGGGAGCAGTCAAACTTGCCTCCCTTGGCTGTGGGGGAAGGGTGGATAATGATAGCTGGGTTGCTAGGCAAGCAGTACTTTCTCTCAACTGCTGCCTTCTCTCTCTTTTCCTTAGCTTTCTTCTCTTCTTCCTAGAAAAAAGTTACAAGTTATTAATGTTCATGATGCAGTCAAACATCATTGTGTCAAACTTTGATGTGTCAAACTTACGGTTGTAAAATCTTGGTCCCTGCATATTCCTTCTATATTCATCATTTTTGGTTGTGTCAAACCTCGGATAACTCTAAGTATTTAAGTAGGTCCCTTCAACTTTGACACAATGTTTGGCTGTTTTACATATTTTTGGCTGGTTCATTAATGTTTTTCGGCGCCTGTCCCCATGTTGCTGTGTGGGATAAATTCTGGCCTAATGTATCATGACACGACAAATTCTCTTTGTAATCTGCCAACACAAATATCTGGCTCAAAATAGTTTTCTCTACTGTTTCCCTCACTACTCTTACCATGAAGCTTCCCAAAAGCTCCTAATTGTGTCATAAAGCAAAGACACCGTACAGCAGTAAGTCATGCAGCAAGTCAAAGGGAGATAATCATAGAGTGAAAACATTCATGACTGACATCGATCTAAACCATCAAATACACCCATGAGACTAAGCAACTATACATATTCTTAAACATAGACATATCTTCTCTTATTATCTGAACAGTTTCCAAGAGCCAACATACGTCTTTCTTCTTTGCAGCTTCTTTTTCTTCTGGTTCAATTTCATCAGGAACCTTGACTGGTACCACAGCTGGCTACAATTGACAAAGTTGGATATTAAACAGAATTTCAGGTGCGTGAACCTTACACGTGGCAGACATGGAAAAAGAAGCAGCCTGAAAATGCTTCTGGGACTCCTAGTTGTCTTTTTGGAGACTATATCAGTAGATATTGGTTTTAACATACAAACAGCTGAGCTTACTTGACTGAAACATAGTTTATGAGACTGGGGCTTCGGACTAAAGGGTAAACTGAAGAAGTAACTTAAATATTGTTGAGAACAATTCTCATTAAGATGATTTTCATTATATTATATTATACATTTATATACCGCAGGTATCCAGGTACTAGTATCTGCTCAAAAGCGGTTTAATTTGTTCCCCAACCAATGGATCCTTTCGCATTGCAGTTATCATTCTCAACTCCCTGGGAAGTATACAACCTAAGCTCCCTAAGGGCGCTAGAAGGTTTTTACATGCACCTCACATATCAGGTACCCATTCCCTGCTGGGTGAACAGAGGCACATTTGAACTAAGTCCACGGTGACACCACAAGTTTTGACACTTGTGTTTTGGGTGTCTGTAGCTATTCGTGTTTCCACCATCTGGTCATCTACCATCCGACAAGTGGGTTCTTTTGAGAGCACAGGGTGCATGTACTGCACACTAGGGTAGTGACAACACTGTAAGGACCTGTAAACATTGGTCCCAAGGCTGAATAAAACTCGGTCATTAGCGGGATATGATCCCAACACCTGGCACTTGCTAGCCTGACACTGTTGACCGCTTGCCCACTCCAACTCCAAATCAAGACCTCTACATCAATATTGACAGAGTAGTTACACACATATTATTATGCACCTGAAGAATGAGTGAGTGAGTGATTATGGTTTTACACTGCTTTTAGCAATATTCCAGCAATATCACGGTGGGGGGACACCAGAAATGGGCTTCACACATTGTAATCATGTCAGAAATCGAAACCGGGTCTTCGGCGTGAAGAATGCTTTAAGACTAGGCACACACACATTATTATCAACCTGAAAAAAATATTTGTAAATTGTCAAAGGTGAAGGCAATACAACCTACACAGAAGCCTGGTCAGAAAGTGCATGTTTCTATCTTACCACTAGCCAGTAAGCACAATAACAGTATTACAGATAATCCTAAGTTAACAGCTACTGTCTTACATTCTTGTAAGTTGCAAAAGCAGCAAAGCATAAAAAGGCAAATCTAACCTGGCTTTTCTCCTCATCTTCATCTTCTTTCTCCTGTTTTAGAGTCTTGGTCAGTCGGGCAATCAACTGAGACTTGAGACCCTTAGAGCTCAGGGTTCGACACTCTAACTCATGCCTTAAGTCCACAATCTGTCAAGTAGTGAAGAGTCATGACATGATGTATTTGTCATCTCCAACCATTAGAAGATACAAGCTGAGCCCATACAATGTAATCACAATGGCCTCAAAAATCCACAAGGAGAGTTACATCATTGTTTGTTAGTTGTTGAAAAAGATTGAATACCGCTTTGAGTGGCCCGAAAAAAGTTTTGCCCCTGGATCCTTTAGGTTTTCTCCCATATTTACCTAGGGACACCTCAGTCTGTAAGTGTTAACATTAGGGTAATGACAAGAGCACGTCATCCTTGTCATCCTAACGTTCATAAATTTAATATGCTTCTGTCATCACCAGATACATATATTATTACAAATCTAGCAAAATATAATTATATAATGCAAATGAAGTAAGAAATGCGAAACTGAAAGCTTAAAACCTGTCTGTACTCAACTTTTGTACACAAAGGCCTGTGGTCTATATGTATTGGAAATAAAATGAATGAAAGACAAGAGCACGTAATAGCTTCTGAGTGAGAGAGTGAGTATGGCCTTTAGCAATATTCCAGCAATATCACAGCGGGGGTACACCAGAAATGGGCTTTACACATTGTACCCATGATGGGATTCAAACCTGGGTCTTCGGTGTGACGAGCGCTTCAACCACTAGGCTACCCGACCACCCCTCCATAGCTTCTGAAAATTAACACTGCTATAGACAATGTCATTCATGTATCTTGAAGGTGATCATGAAAAGTCACAGTCTGTACTTTTCAGTCTTCTCCCCCAAACACATACTTTGTCATCAGTTTCAGTAGATTTTTGTTTTGGTACATTGACTAGAATATAGCTGACGTTACTAGACCAAATACATTTTAATAGACTCTGGTTTTGGCCAAGTGGCTGAAATAGCAGACTTAAGTCAGGATGCCGGTCTATGATAGCTTGTCCTACCTTCATGGTTTTGGGATCGAGGAGAGCATGGTTTGTGGGTTCAGACTTTTCCGCTGCTTCCTTCTCTTCCTCCGTTTCTTCCTCCGCCTACAGAACATAAGAGAGAACATTGTTACAGAAACATATTTGCCTGGATTAGGTGTTATACCACGCAGCACACTCGTACAACCATCTTGTCCCATCCCCCCATCATATTCACTTCATATCCAGTTTCATAGGTACTGGGCACTGCCCATACTTTCGGCTTATTTTTCAATCCTGCAAAAGAATCATAATTATGTGCCTGCTCCAAGGAAGCGAACTTGTGAAACTAATAGTGTACTTCTGTAGAATGACAAGTGAATAAAAGTTAATTAACCAGGGATTTATCTTGGATTCTGAACTAAGTGCCCTGACAGGCTACATCAAGGGGGAAAATCATTATTTTGTTTTAACTCGGATTTTTTAAAAAGTTCTTATAGTTCAATCAGAGGTAGTTCCACATTGTATTTTGAGATGGCATTCAGCCATAATATCAAATTAACATTGAAACCTCTTTCTCTTGATTGGACCTGTTACATGTGATTTACCTTTACAAAGGCCCCAAATTAGTTATTACATGAACTGGGAAATTTATCATTCCAATTTGGGAATTTTTGATGACATTTGCTGCTGACTTAGGGCCGAAAACCAGCATCTGAGCAGGTCTTGATAAATCCCTGTTCAGTGATCTGTTTTGATCCTCATATTCACAGATAGTGATTACTTTATTTTCCAAGCCATTGGATAATATTTCACTTTGATAGTTTCTCTTAGACCAGGCACTTCTTTCGTGTAAAGTGTACCAACTCTCTGATCATCCAAGTCCTACACTGAGTGAATTCTGTTGGATGAGTCAGCAAGCGCCAAACCATCCAGCTGGGTTAGTAGGAAACAGTGATTATAGTGTTGATGTGTGACCAGCCCTACCTCGGCCAAAGATCAGGATGATTCAATGTCCATAACATGGGTATACTGTCAAAGGGTCTAACGTACCAACTTTTCAAGTTTTAGACTTAATCTGAAAGATCAATAAAGTAACAATTAAACACAACTTTGAACTAAGGGAACATGATTACAGGAGCGGCCAAAGGTTACCGTAGATCAACAAGTCTGGACACCTCCTTCACGTCTAACCTCTCTATTAAATCTTATGGCATCAAGCCAACCATGGCAGGACACCGATTGTGTTGAGCAAGTTCGGTCTAGCTAGAGTGACCGGTGGGCAGTTCTCCTACATCTGGACTGTACAGACAGAGAGTGGTATATCAAACACACTGCATTGAGAAAGAAAAAGTTATAATTTAGTCAAGTGCCTGTGGGTCTGTCCCTTCGATGGCAGCAATCTTGCGTTGAAGCTGCTTGGAGTAGGCCACCTGCAGATTGCCCCACTCCAGGCGGGTTGGGCTACAAGTCCACACGTCGGGCAAAAAAAGTACGACAGTTTCAACACGAGCTGGAACCTGTCTGCCTTTGTGGTTGGTCTCAGGCCGGAGATAGGCGATCTCTGCATACCGATACCTGCGATAAAGGAGTGGTATGCAAGCTAGTAGGGATCTTTCTTCAGGGGTTGGGGTGGGGATAAAAAGGTGCTCATAGATGAACAATCACATCACAAAGGACACAAAAACTGGTACCTATTTCACCTATGATATTGAAAAAAAGTTTGAAAAATTAAAGATACAAAAAGCTGTATTTTTTGTGGAATCTTGATATCGTAAATACCTTACAAGACATTAAAATTTGCAACAACAAAATTCTTTAAACCAAAATAGAAAAAAATATATATTCAGCGCTATATAAACATGATAAAACAGTCATTTGAAATAAACAGCTTAAGCAAAGAAAAAAATTGCATGATTATTTTGGGAACTCTATGCCATAAACTCACCACTGGGTGCAGGAACTGAGATCTAATCCTGTTAATGCTTTAGTCGTGCGTATGGCAGTTTTAATCAACACTTGGGGGTTTTCAGCTGGATTTGGACCATCCAGTGATGGAGACCATGCACCTCCTATAGCCATCGGCTCATTCTTCCCTCGGATTCCCACTAGAAACTGTAGCAGACGTGTTGGGTGCTGGAACGAATCTGACTCTGTCTGGGCCAAAGCACAGGACTTTTGGAACAGTTCTTCCATCAGAGGTGAGGCTAGCAGCATTACCTGCAAACACAATATCATATGCTTAGTACGCAAAAGAATTTTTTTTATAAAAAATTGTATATTTATATACTTATCCTACCTCACACTCTCCATTTCTTCTTTCTTCTTTGATCCTATGTGGAAATGTGTTTGAAAAGAGTTTCCAGCCTCTTAAAAACAATTCATTCGAACACATCACAGCATCACCATGGTCAACACCCAAACAAATGGGTCACGCCCTGTAATCATGTGCATATTGACCTACACAACCTGATCATGTGTTTACCCCTGCCACATCATCCTATTTTGTCAGAGCTAACAGGCTAGAGGGGTGCAGATACCTCAGCCTGTATAGACTACAACCATGAGACAAACACGAGGAAGTTGGTGCCAAACAGTGAAATAAATACAATATCTAAAACACTGCCTAGTGTCGTATTAGAGAGAAACTCATGAGCGGGAAAACACAAAAACTTGTGATACAATCCTGATACTTCAGTCTGACTAACAGCATGACATCGAGTATAACAAGCTGAGTGTATATTCAGGTATGACGTCGTTACATGAACGACCGCATGGCTGTAAAGAACGGGCTATATAGCGTACTACATATGATCGATCCGAAGGGGTATCCAGTCGATCGATTCTACAAGACAGGACACAACACTATCTCCCATGGACATCAGAGTGTGACTGCTCGGCATCTCTATTAAGGCTGCATCAAAGCTATCAATCTTGCTCGAGGGATTGAAGCATGTCAAGACGAGAAGAGGAACAGCAATATCCACAAGAGGATCTTCAAGCCAGTATCAAACAACACATGCTCAAGGCAGAGGTGAGCAGAATACAGGGTTGGGAGACTATCATAACGGCTGTGACTTGAGGCGACTTATATGTTGAAGACCTAAGTCTATACAGACAAGTGAATCCACTCTCCAATTGGGTACTCAGTCTGGGGACCAGAACAATAAACACAGGAGCTAAAGATTTATTCTGTATAATTATTCCGTAGTACGAGAGAGCAGGAGTGGGTACAGGCATCAGTTATCTGTGCTGGTGTTCATTCGACAGCTGCTGTGTCCATAATGGCTGACAGGGTGCAGTTCCTGTTAAAGACCATGGTGGAGGTGACAGTTTAAGTCTTGTGAGGATTGGACGTGATCGGAGGCAAATAAACAAGCAAAAGTGTAGGCCCGTATTATGGTCGACCGGAGCCAAAAGGAAATTGTGGAGACTTCAGTTAAGGCCGCCGTTGAAAGTGGGATGAAGAACCTTTTCCAGGAGCGTCAAAGTGGTCTCACAGCTTCCAAGTAGATTCAGAGCGCTCGAATAGGACGTAAGAGAGATCTTCAAGGTAAGCAAGGGGCTGGAGAAATGATTGTCACTACCCAGTACAACATGCGAAGGAGCAGGAGAGGCAAGGAGGCTGGAAGCAGACATTCTAGGAGCAGTAGAAGGGTCCACCACAGGTGTAGACAAAGTAGTTTCGGAAGGATCAACGGAGAGAACCATCCAGTGTAACGACAGATGGGACAGTCAGCATGCTGGACTTCTTTGACTTGGTAGCCGATGATTTGCGCTTGACGTGACACATTTGTTTAGTAGGTGACCATGGTGATGCAGGAATGTGTTCGGGTGAATTGTTTTAAAGGAAATTGTTCAAGAATGTTTCCAGATGAAAGTTTAAAAATTGTTATGTTTTGGAAAAAATAGTAGATTTTGATTGGTCAATTACAGGTTTCAAATCAGATTGGTATTTTTAAGTAACACCTCCCCCCCCCCCCCCCCATCCCTGCATGCAATTCCAATACTCATATCAAGCTAGTGACTTATGTAACTACTTTGAGGGAGATAACAAGCAGTCCTAGATTTTCACAAGTCTCAGTCTATCAAACTAGCTAGTGGCCGAATCTAACCCTGCAGAGAGCTTGAAATTTGGCTATTCTCAATCTCAAACTGTGACATCACATTCATTACTATTCAAACATACATGTGATGTGGCTTAGTTTTTCATAAATGTCAATCAACTTTCCAAACATTTCCCTTGGAAACTTGTTGGACATACCTTGGAACTGAAGCTATGGTCAGCATCTGGGGCCTCATAGACAGCGTCATTGGGCTGAAGCGGCTCTACATCTTTCTGCATGATGTGGAACTGGCAGTTGGAGCCGAGGCGGAAAGGTCGGCCAACAGGGAATACATCAGCCCATGAGAAGCCAGCATGGAAGAAATCACTTGGTATGTACAAGTTACTATAACGTGACTTGAGAGCAATTACATTTCCTCCTTTCCTGCAAAGATAAATACAGTGACATTAGAACATTAACCATGTTGACTGTCATGACAAAAATGAATCATTTCATACAAATCATGATAAAAACATTGTAAACATACAATATCAAGTTATTTAATGTTGTGAAAACATCTAAAAGGGTAACTTATTTTTACAGTCCCTCAGATTGTCAGCAGGCCTGAATCAAGTTTATTTAGTATGCAGGCCATATGGCCCAAAGTACAAAACGATATGTATGTCAGCTTCGAATTAGGTTGTGGGAATACATTTTATAACACAATAGAGACATAGCTACAGTAGTATCTGTATATGTACAATATGCAATGGTATTCAATTGAAGTAATTCTAAAATGTCTACATCGGACTAATATGTGTGGAATTAAAAGTAATGTAGAGAACATAGAAGTTTTCCCACTTGTGAAGCGCTAATAAAATAATCATGAAAAGTTCTATAACGTTAAGCATCCATAAAATGCCCATTTGAAACATCACATAGTTTATCAATGAAAAATAAGTCAGAGAACCCAATTTGGAGCACTTCGCGTACCTTCAACCTACACATTTGGGCCTTCACATTTCATAGATGATTTAAATCGACCTGAAGCTCTGCTCTGATGTGCTGTTCTCAGAAACCATCAAATAAGGTAAATTTTAATTGATTAGAATATGCACTGCTGTCTCAAGGGAACCACACAGGATACAAACACATTAATATCATATTCATTGAACAGCCTGTGAAAAACTAGAGTTGTACTCACGTTTCAAGTGACAACTTGGGTATCTGTACAACATATCTTGGAATAACCCTAGCAGGCCGCCTTCGTATAGGACTCCTAGGTCTTGGAGCTGGAGACTTGACAGAACGAGATGGAGATCGCTGACGCTTTAATCTGTTCTCTTTCCTTTCACGTCTTTCCCTCTCTCGCTCCCTCTCTCTTTCTTTGTCTCTGTTGTTTTTTACCCCCTGGAATCGCCCTGCATCATTGCGGTGAGGTGGACCACCACCTGACCTTTGAGCTGGGAGTAGACCTGACAGGAGGGAAAACAAGTTCAGACAAATGATTCTGAATACAACTATAACTGACACCTTGAGGTAGAAACAGTTGGTAATGTTGGCAATGCGGGCAATGTAAGCATATCATGCTGGCAATATATTCTGGTAATTGAGAGTTAGTGTGATAGCTTGGGTGTAACAAGCAATAATCAGGTACTCAAAGGATGAAGTTTCACTATACTGTATATTATTTTCAGAATAGATTAACATAAGCTACATAAGTAGATCCAAACAAATTTGACAAAACACAGATTTCATAATGATATTTGAAAATACATTTATCATTTGAGTCAAACTGAACAGAAAATTAGCTGCCACAGGTTTTCAAGTACATGGTAATTGTTTAGCTCCTCATAAAAGTCTACTGGTGGAAGCAACCACAACATAGAAATCGTCAGTACCTAGAGATGGCTGTGGGTTCTGTGCCATGAGAGGGGGTGGCTGCTGTGAGAGGACTGGTCCTGCAATCGACTGTGTAATGATCTGGTTCCCAGGCATTGGGTTCATGTTGCCAACTGGAGGCACGGGTTGTGGGATACTCACACCCGGGGGGTTCAACCCTGCTCCAATTGTCAGCTGAGGTGCACCTTTAAGTCCTGTGGGGATGTTTGGTGCTCCCTAGACATGGAAAAAAACTATTTTCAGCAACATGATTGAGCAGGGTTTTGTTGTCATAGTCACAGAATAGCATCTTACACTTCTACAACATGAACAAGATATCATGTGCATTTCAGTTATGAAGAAACGTAAGAGTAAATCAATTTTATTTCAAACAAAATACCCTTATCAAACTCAAACTGTGCAGCAATAATACTGTGCATATCTACAATGTGCCAAATCCACACCATAAAGTATGCTCAAAGGGAAACAATATTAACCTGGTCAATGGATCAGTGTACACTTGATTTGATTTTCATTCTCAGCTTCTGGGGCAAGGCACTAGAAGATTAACAGTCAAATACCAGGTGCCCATTCACTGCTGGGTGAAGAGGCATATTTTGAACAAAGCCACTTGCCAAAGGAGACAACATATGTGCTACATGTGCTTCAGTTTGGGGCAGAACCCTAGCCCAAGAAACTCTCAGGAGTCAAGCTCCCGAAAGGAGTTGCCCATCCAAATGCTCTTCAAGATCAACATTTGCACTATTTTAGTAACAACTAGCTCACAGCTACTCCAGAGCATTGCTATGTGGATGATTTGCTATGTTTACACGAGATCGTCTGCATACCCAATATTGTGCAGATCACTGCACTGTTTCTCTGACTTTCCTGGTTCCCATACCACTTACAGCATATCACAAATTTGCAAAAAACACCTCTTGCCCAGGGTTCCCCCTAGACTCCAATATCTGAGAGTCACCTTGACTCAGCCTATGAATTTTTGTGAGTCAAAAATATTTTTTGAGAATCAAATGTTTTATTGTATGATTAATGAAATTTAAAGTGTTCACTGTTAATGTTACACTTTAAGTTAAGTATCTTTTAAATATTATATGTCTTTAGTTTAAGTTAACAAGTGCTAATTAATGTTCTCAGCTGACTATACTACAGAGAAATATTTTTTCACAATCTTTAATTACTTCACAGCTCATGAAACAATTTACAGTGACACTAATACAGGATGAATAAATAACTCAGTCTCAACTGTGAGACATAATTTTTAATCATGGATGGATATTAAAATACATTTTATGTCAGATTATAATTTAATACCACTAACTCATTAACATCTTTTATCTAGTTATCTTGTATTATCTATCAACAGTGAAGTTGAACTGAAGAATTGTGAACACTCGTTATATTTTCTGGTTGAATACAGTTTATTAGCAACAACAAACACGCTCAAAGCTTTACATTTCGTATATACCATATTTATTCGTGTATAATACGCTCTCGTGTATAATACGCATCCCTAATTATGGGCAATTAAATCCTGAAAAAAATATCTCTCGTGTATAATACGCACAGACTTTTCTTCAGTCTCATTTCAGGCTGTCATGATACGTCATCGTAAATAGCATAACAAATCCGAATTGAATTACGCAAGTTAATCCACTATCTGGTAATAAAAATGTGTTCTCTGTATGTCGGACCTTATGTTTGTCATCTATTTTATTAATTTTATTTAAAACTTCATTCAATAATGTTAACCTAAATTTCGGCAAAAACATGTGTCCCTCCGATACTTACAACTTCCGTTTACCCCGTTCCATAGGTTCCGCTTAACCAAATCACATTATTCACCGCAACAATGATAATATTTTCTTCTGTTTCATTTTTTACAAGTCTACACATCTAGATAAACATATGTCATGGTTAACTTTTAGTGAGAAAATATGCCGAAACGTGAAAAACCTTGTCCATTTGCGGAGTTTTCCTTTGTTTACATCAAGTGCTGTCATCGAAGCCACACGGAGTGTGAGAGTTACGTTCACTTTGATGAATAAATATATTTTGTCGTGTACCTCACAGTCGCACAGTTTTAGTAGCATATTTATATAATTATGCAAAAAAATATGTAAAGCCCCCGGCTGTTCTGATTTTAGCGTTTGTTTTACAACGAGAGAATAGTCTGGTCATGTGACAGGCTATGCAAATTAGCCCATGGCAGTGGTGTTATGCGAAGTTATGTTACTTCTAAAAACGACGGTTAATTAAAAACTAGACGTAAATTGTAAGACGTTTGCATATATTGTCTTCGGAAAATGTTTATAAATTAAGTTCAGGTGAGTAGTTGTAATATTTTCATTCGAAAGCTGGTAAACAACAACATAGATATTTTGAAACTGCGTCAGTCATGACGCAGCCATTTATTTCTGGACGTATTTTTCCTTAATTGAGAGTCATATACGCAAGAATTCTGCATCAGGGAAACCCCTGCTTACCTGATTAGCCAAGACCTGTATTCTGGTTGCATTCCATTTGAAGGGCATGTTGGCATTATAGGTGGCTTCCACTAGAACTCTAGATCCAACTTTTGGCAAGCTTCCTTTGACACAACTGTAGAATAAATAAAATGTCAACTCACAATACAACATCAAACACGATATCAAACATTTGAGAAGTCAAACCATCAAACCAACCAAATGAGATGTTTTCAGAAATAAAGTGTTCACTTCATCTTACATCTGACAAATAATTACACTCCCATAACTCCGTCATCCCGAGGCAAGGGAGTTAACAGACTACAAAAGTCCAGTATCCACCCTTGGCCGAACTAGGCTGGAATGATGGAGTCATATTTTGGCTGGACTAAAGTGTCTATGCATAGTCCAAACCGTGTAACGAAATAGATATCTGCTTTGCAGATTTCGGTCTCTTGCTGGATTTGCAAAGCATGTGTTCTGTCAACTCGGTATCAACAGATATTTTCCAAATCTTTCCGTGTTTTTAATCAAGATGCCAAAGCGATATGCATTTCGTGAGGTAAGACCTGTTTTAATTACAATATAGATCTTGCTTATCGGTCAGATCATCTTGACTGGGTGCCACCATTTTGCTTGAAGCAATTGTACGTTATATGAGAGGTAGAATCTGATTGGTCAAAAGGATGGACACAGAAGGGATATCACTCGTAATAGAAACTGGTGGTCCTGCGATCAAACCCAGAAATTCCAGCCTTGGGTGGATACTGGACTTTCATAGTCAGTTAACTCCCTTGCCTTGGGAAGATGTAACTCAGTTAAATCTGTAATAATACAATGTTACAATAATACTCAGTTTCTTAATCAAGTAACGAGGTCTTATTTACTTTCCAGTAATATCAAATATTAGCTATATAATGTGAATGATTCTTTTCAAAATTAATTCAGCATGATTAGAATAATAAAAATTTGAACCATATCTCATTTAAATACTTCTTCTTACAGTTCACTTACGTAGTCTGAAAAAAGACATCATCATCTACAAATCCAAAATTGTCATGTAGTTTTGTGACTGTTCCTGTGAAGACTCTCTGTTTGGGTGACTGTGGCTGTGTGATGCGTGGTGGTGGATAGCTCACTGTGGCTACTTGGGAGGTGGCTAGGGTGGTGGGGATGGCAATGCCCGGCTGGGGAAGTACAGCTGCAGCTGCAGCTGAAGCAGCAGCCTGCTGTAGTTGTTGCTGAAGGAGAAGAAAGACTAAATAACACATAGACTAAACATTACAAGGATTTTTATAACAGATTTATGATATTGACACTTGCTAAAACTTGGAAAATGTGTTCACTTATAGTTTACGGAATAGTGAATCACAAAAATGACAAAACTTGAAAAAATCTTAAAATAGGTTACAGGGATGTATCTTGGCGGGAATGTTAACCAAGAATGTCTACTAGCCTGAAAAGTGACAATATACAGCAATATACAGCAATACAGCAATACCCAATACTAGCCCTTAGGATACCTTTAAAATTAGCCAAAATGGTCCAGGCTAATGGGATAATGCTAAGTTCCATCCCTGCTGGTATTAGTAGGCCTGCTCAGAGGCCAATATTCGGCCCAAAGTCTGCAGCAAATGTCAGTAAATATTCCCAAATTGGAAATTCCAGTTCATGTTATATAGTAATACCTATATTATGGCTTTGAACAGGCAACTTATATTACACTGACCAATTTAAGTAAAATAAGTATAATCAAAATATTTTTTACGTTTGTATACTTATCGTGCAAACGACAAAGAAAACAGCGCCTAGCAATGACCCTTGATGAAGAAAAAATGTTGTTTCTGTTTTCAGTTTAGCCACATGCGTGTCAAGGGAACCGTATGGCAAGTCAAGTGCTGAATGGTTATACTCGTTCAATCTTATCCATCAGAAAGAAATGAGAATTGAGGATAAATCCATGTAAACAAACAGCAAAAAGAAATTAGCGTAAGCTAAAATCTAACAAACTGTGTTACTGAGCCAAAGCTAAAATGCCTGATAATCCCCCTAACGGACATGTCAAAATAACACTGCGTGTATCGGGTAAGACTCTCCGGGCAGGAAGAGTTCATTACTTGCATCAGTGGTTGGTAACCTACTGGGCTACAAACGCCTTCGATGTCTTCAAGTCCCACACCTCAAAGATCATGGCTGGCTAAGACCTAAAAAATCATCCTTCCTTGATTGCTCTAATAGAACAGTTGCTATGTAGATCCATGGTTGAGGCGACCACTCTGATCTTGTGAGGATTATTCGCTTTCAGAGGATCAAGGTTAGCGATCAGGTAAGCCAGCAGGATGACTGCGCGTAACCATAGTGATATGGTGTTGCGACTGACATTGGTTGTGGATGTCTGGAATAGGGGAATAAACAACCATTTCCTTGTGCCATGCCTAGTTTTACAGCAGGTGCCGATGTACTGGTAAGCGCTTGGGTTGTCTCCGGCGCTGGGGCAGTTGGTGGCAGGGCTGGCTGGTACAGAGGCCAGTTGACTAAGCGTCGAAGACATTGCAGGTCTGGCTAGAAGCCTGGATGATGTAGTCATAGTCGGTGAGCCCGGTAGGGTGTAGATAGATGTAGGTTGAGGTGATAACCGGGGAAAAGTGGCTCGAAGCCACCTGCAAATCTGGCATGGACTGCTGTAGAATATATTGTGCATGACCTGTCTATGACTTGAGAAACTTGACGGGAGAAAGGTGAACAAAAATTACATATTAAATTCGGAGTGCACACACAAGTGCAATCTAAACAACGTGGATGAGGATCTTTGAGGATTTTTTGTCACGACAATTAATGCACTGCGCAAGCATGTATTACACAAAACTTGAAATTGTAGTGAAAGTAGATTTGTACATACCGATAACAAAACCAAAGTTTAAAATCAGCAAAAATATGAGTTTGAAGTGTATCAACAACAAATGTGAAAACTCTAGATAATGCCAAAAAGGCTAAAGGTATTTATACAAACACAATGTAATACCTAGCTGTATTAGATTAACATTAATATACCTATAATGATATATGATCCATAATTATCCGTCAGGATACTAGCATCTTAGACTATCAGCATTGTACATCTATACTCATGCGCGGCATGAGTCCCAGTAAGCCATCAGCCTGTACAGACGTCTCTTAATATATCAGTAAACAGTGATTAACCAAACCCAGCGTTCGTTATGCAGTTCTCAGCTGATACAACAACCTGAGAATATTACATGGTGGCAGCAAGTGAGAAACGTATCTCGCCGACTTTAGAACTGTGAATTGTGAATATTCACCGCTGAAACAACGTTGGAAGAGATGTGTATACATCGAACAGTTTGGACACTGAACAGAAAAAAAACACGCAAAATCATCTGTTAAATTTGGCTTCGTCACCCTGTTTGTTTGATCATTTAGGATAAGTGATGGTGCTGAAATTGCAGAATTTTCATTGTTTGGAAAAACAGACAAAATTAGGGGACTCACAATTGAGACGTTGGGCTGACAGGTGAACTGAATAAATAGATCTAGATCTATCAAATATCATATATCAGTGAGTGCTTCGAAATTGTGCGCGAGAGTGAAATATCATATTCTTAGGCATTCATAAGGATATTCATGGATTGGAATAACACTCTATCGCAGTAAGCAAGAAATGTATGTACTCTGAACATGAACTGTCGTCTGTAACGACGCACCGCCATTTTGAAGAATCTGTCATCGGAACTGTATTCAAAATCATTCAATCTACCGGTGTATGTGAATACTTCTCATAACAAATATCATCGTTCACTAGAACTGGATTATTGGGAACACATTTCTTGAATTGAAGATGTATTATTTGACATTATTAGAACTTTCATGTTATCTCAGAACGTTGGTTGAAAAACCCGCGAAAAGTAATAAGCAGCAGAGTAAAATGACGTCACAAGATTGCCGGATATGACGTACCGGACATAAGTTCTTCTTCCGGAAAAAATGTAAACAAACACACATATTCATCGGGAAACTTCATAATAGTGACAATTCATAACCTTTTGAACTTTTGACTTGATCATTGACAACAATATGGATTCTGGACCTAAGATGGACTGGTCTAACCCAGACCAAGTGGGAGCTTTCATATTTTACTGTATACCGGTGATGAAGGTTTGAAGATGTTCAACTCATGGTGTTTGTCAGAAGAAGAAAAGAATAATCCAGAAAAAGTTTGGAACAAATTTCAGAGTCAGATAGAGCCTAAAATAAACTTTCGTGTTCAACGATTTTATCTACAGAGATACAGACAAGGAGAAAATGAGAGTATTGATGATTTTGTAACAAGAAGTAAACTACAAGCATTCAAGTGCAGATTTACAGAAGCAGAGTTTAGTGAGAGGCTTATTGAACAGTTAATTATCGGCACTAGATATCCTGAATTACAGAAGGAAATGCTAGGGAATGAACATACCCTTACATAAGAAAAAGCCATTGAATGTGGGCGTACTCATGAAGCATCAATCCAACACATGGCACAGTTACAGGATGTTCACACTCAACAGAATGGAATTCATGCCATACAGAGAGACAGACAGCAATGTGGATCATGCGGAGGATCGCACCACATCAAACAGAAATGCCCTGCCATAGGAACAACTTGTTCTAATTGTGGTGGCAAGAATCACTGGAAATATGTTTTTAGATCAAAATACAGAGGATCACGGAGAGGCAGAGGATGTGGAAGACATGAATATAACCACAGATCCCAATCAAGGCCTGGAAGAAAGTAGTTTGGAAAAGATTATCATTACAAAAGAAGAAATGTTGATGCAGTCGTAAATGAATGGACTGATGACTATGCCGAACTTAGTGAAGAATTTGAGGAACTCAGAATCTCGTCAGTGAACACTGAAGATGACGGAGACGAAGTATTTGCAAGACTGGACATTGAACTTGCAAATAGAAGAAAAGAAATAAAGACGGAATTGAAAGTAAAAGTGGACACAGGTGCACAAGGAAATATTCTTCCACTACGGATATTCAGACGCATGTTCCCAGAGAAAATAGATACAGTAGGATACCCTATACCTGGATCAGTACAAGCAAAACCAGGAACAATCCTCACAGCATATAACGGAACAAGGATTCCACAGTATGGAATGATCGCATTACCATATCGATACATGAATGTAAACTGGATGCATGCCAAGTTCTACGTAGCAGAAACTGATGGCCCAGCAATCTTAGGATTTTGTAGAATTTTCCTATTCGGAATATTCTATAAGTAATACGTTACCACTGTTATACCGAGGCTGTTGTCTCCCACAACTGCTGCTATAGCGAAATCTACCACAGAGATCTCAATTACCTCATGCAGCACGTGCGTAGCCACCTAGCTGCCATGTGACACCCTTCACTCTTGTCTCCTGCGAGAGCAAGTGCTCGGGGGACGGACGGGCGGGCAGCAGCCCAGTGGTAACGTATTACTTATAGAATATTCCGAATAGGAAAATTCTACAAATTACATTAAGTAATACGTTACCACTGTTATACCGAGGCTGACTACCACAGTAGGCGGTGGGGAGCACCTACAACCCGAATCCTGACTGCTAGCGTTCCTTCCGACCAGCGGAAGTAAACACCAAGGCGGAAGCACTCGATGCGCATGCACCTAGCTAGGCGTTACCCTATGGGAATACCAAAGCACTGTCAAGCGCATACCGTAAGGCTCAATCGTCAATGCCAAAACGATTGGTGACTCCAAACGGCCCCACTGGATAGGTATTTCATCGCCGCAGCGGATGAGAACACTGTATCCGCATGAGCTAAATCTTAGATCAGGTTAAACAGTCGAAAAGAGGGAAATTAATTTCCTTCAGACCGTATATCCCAGAGCAAGCCTACTTAAAGTATGCATTAGGCGCGTGACCTAATTCCAGTATTCGTAAGCATGTATCGCAAGGTTGGAATACACGACAGACAATTAAATGCATAATTGTCAAAATACAAATAAGGACAAAACACACAAAAAGCCGCCTCACCTGTGGTGTGAGTGCGCTGGTTTGCAGGACCCCCACTCCTGTACCTACGGCGTGGGAACATTGGAGACGACCCAGATTGACCACCGTGCAAGGACTGACGACTGCGGAGTTTGGAATTGCGCTGGACACACCCCCTAGATGGCCGCTTGTGCCGCGATCAGCGGCCCAAGACGGTGCACCCCCTCCACGTCTTCATC